TGAGTGCAGATTAAAAAAAAAAAATCAACACATGGGGAAATCATCAGGATGGATGATATTGTACTAGACTGATAAGGCCTTTGTCCTGAAAAAGGAAATTCTGAGAATTGTAGCTTTTACAGTTAGTGCGGCATTGTGGCCCATCTAAGATAGCTAGAAGGCATTGTATGGCACACAGAATTCCACATTATTATTTTGAACTAATCAGCCAACTATTTAGCTACAGGCTTTAATAATAAAGCAGTGGAACACATGTGAAAGTACAGGCAGGCAGCATTTTGCATATCCAGGAGAGGGCAGTGGTGGCCTAATTTCACTCTAGCTGGGTAGACTGTTCCAAGAGCAGAACTATTTTATATTTTGTATTTCTGCATAACCAATCTATAGAACCTGTGTTCTCCCATAGAACATGTAAAAAAGACTGTGATCTCTATATTATAAATTTTCTCTGGATAAATGAAGCAGAGAAGCCCTGTAGTCAGCACTTTAGCTTGACCTTTGCTTTGGGGAAGTGACCAAATAAGGAAAATGGTGGGTAAAAATTAGGTTAAGTCATTTGACATTAATTGGCTTTGCTACCTCTCCCTCTTGGCTTAATTCTTGCTTTTGCCATCAGTAACTAATCCACTGGACTGCTGCTACTTTCATAATGCAGCTGTTTACATTAAAGGCCAAACTGAGAAGAGTCTGAGAAGTTGAAATGCATAAAATATTGAAGAAGGTGGGAAATAGGAAAGGGACACAGAAGTGAAGGAGAGAAGCAATTAGGGAGGAATTGCATGGAGTAGATGGGCTCATGAAAACATTTCAAGCTTCTCTAACTTGGTGTTCTTCAGAGGCATTGCACTGTAGCTCTTGGAATTCCCAGCCAACTTGGATAAAATGCAAATTCTAGGAGATGCCACATTGGGGAAAGCTATTGAATGACCATCTGGATCAGGAAACAGACCTTTTAAACAGCAGTCACCCAGTGAGGCCTCCTGATTGCTGTAAAAGCTTTTAAATTTTTTGATCTGAGATGAGAATTCTCCACCCCCACCCCAGAAAGGGTATTTTCCCAGGACACAGTAGTCAAGTGTTTTATTTATGTAATTAATAACCCTCTTATATAATCATTAAAAAGTAAAATAATCATTAAAATGTAATTCCAAAGCATGGATACAGCAAGATAAAGAAAAGTACAGAAGAGAATAAAACTCTAGCTTTGCTGGTTTCAGAGTAGCTGAATCTCCCATTTGTATACAAAAGGTTTGTCAGACATATGAAGACTTTGTGCAAAGGAAATCCACTGTTTTCCATTTTTTTGATGATGGTGGTACTGAATTGTACCTATTTGTGTATATTTTTCTATGGACTACTAGAAATATTATAATTTGCACATCCTGGAATGTGTACGAAGAACTCACGATCTATTAATAAAATGATGGAGTAGACATGATCCTCTCTCTCTGTACATAGCAGAATTCTTTGTAAACCATAGTCAGACTTGGATTATTTGGTAAGATTTACAAAGGTAATTATAATATATTTAGGATAAAAAACTATTTTTATGCTTCAGCTGTAACATAGCAATTGTCTGGTTCAGACCCAAGATTTTCCAGCCAGATTCCTCCAAGGACTAACCATGAAAGATAGTAGTCTACCAGCTAGATGACTTCTTCCCTTTAGATAAAAAAACCCCTACTATTGGCTGGCAAATTGTTCTCCCAAAAGTCCCCCAATGAGCCTGAGTTGCAAGAAATAATATATGTCATTTTCAAAATTCCGTATCTCCCAAAATATGTCTGATAATAGATATTAAAGCCATGGAAGTCATGGAAATGAAGGTGACAATTGTCAAACAGATCTATAATTGAGGACCAATTTAGGGATGGGCAGGGTTTTTCCTTTATCCCGAACTTCCCCAATCTGGTACATTGCAGAAGTTTGAAACTATAGCTTCCAGATTTCTCAACCAGCATGGCCAAAGAGTTTTCTGTGGGCTGCATTGCTAATACATCCAGAGGGTACCAGGATGAGACTTTTCACCTATAGTATGTCTAGATATAAGAACAAGTTTTCTAGGAGAGGTCCAAAGTAGGCAACAGTGAAAGAAAAAAAATCATACTGATAGAACAGGTTCCCCAAAGTTAGGAGGCCAAGGCCACAATTCAAAAAGTAGAGGATAGAACCAGGACAAAAATGGTTAATGTCATTTATATATATGTTTGTTACATTTATATGCTGCTGAATCTTTAGATTCATGGTAGTATTAACATTTACAATTACTCTCCAGTCAGGTGTTTAGTA